CAGAGTCCATCAATTGTACCAATTAAAATGTATTATGCTGCTGCTGTTTTGCAGAGGACCCATAAAGCAAAGTAGATTTGGTTCAGAACAATGTAAAATATATAGGAAGTAATCTTTGCCCAAAGCACTATGAACCAAACCAAAACAGAAGGGGATAAAGGAACGGTGGCAGGGAGGAGAGGGAGGTGGACAGAGGTAGGAAATAGCAGTTGGTGCCGTTCCCACCACTACAGAATCTGCGCAGCAAATTGCTGTGCTTTAAGGAGAAGTAGCAATCAGCACCGATTGAAATATCCCTGAATGCAGTTATAATGACATTCCTCTTCTCCCTCTTGTGTCTGGCACGATAGGCCATCATCAGAAATGTGCACCATCACGCAGGATACACTTTCTAAAGACAGGAAGGGAGCTGCTTATGATCCCCATGCCAGGAGCCTGCTGTGTGTGTGAGCATGTTGCCTGGGTCACTGGGACCCAGTGCTTAGGCCAGCACCATACTTGAAATGCTGGGATGTTGCCATCTTGAAATAGAAATTCCTAATAATTTTGAATAAGGGACAGCACATTTTCATTTTATACTGGGCAGCGGAAATCATGTAGCCAGTCCTAGATGTAGAAAATATAGCTTGTAAGAGAGTATTTAATTGAAAAATATTTCATCCACAGCTTCTCTGGCTAGGTAATCAGTAGCAGGGAAAATGAAATCAACAAATAGGGCATTGTCATATTTTATGAGGATGTGCCTGCTCCTGTCCTACCCGGTAACCAAAGATCTGTGAGAATGTCAAACAACAGTTCCCCAAAACTTGGATCCCAGCTTTGTATCAAAGATCCAAAAGGACTGTTCTCATTCCTCTATTGATTGGGTTAAGTTACGTGGTACCCATATCATGTCACATCAAACGTAACTTGATGTGACAAGATGTAACATAACCTGATTTAAAAAAACAGAAACAAAAACAGAAGGAGAATTGGGGGAAAGTACCTTTTTGTTTAAAATGTCACGGAAGATGTGAGATAAATCTAGGAGACCAGAAGTGATCATAATAAAATAATTCTGCTAAATTATGAATGATAGTCTCTGATTCTCTAACTCTTTTCATCCATGGCTATCAAGGCACCACAGACTAAGCTATCTTGTACTTTCTTTGCAGGTTCTCAATATTACATGTTGTGGTGTGGATGTGTCCTAACTCTCTTTCTCATTCAATAGTGGGATGAGTCCACTGCTCATGGACGGGTGTGTAGATAAGAAAAATGCATAAAGGTTTCAAAAAGGATGTTAAGAAAATTGTTGTCAAGGGCTAAAATATACAGGTGGTCATAAGAATTGAGGGGAAAATTAAAAGTTCTTTCTTGAAAAGTGAAAATCAAAATCAACAAAAAACTATGAACCAGAGACACTTTTAGGGGGGCGGGGGCGGGAGGGGAGGGATTGGGGTCAGAATGGGGGGGCTGCAATTGTATGGGGAATATAACAATAAAATTTATTATCTAATAAAAAAAAAAAAAGTTCTTTCTTGAAAGTGATTGCTATTAGTGACTTGGAGCAAGAAGCAAATGACTTGGCCGGGGCGGTGGGGGGGGGGTGTGCGGGTGGGGGTAAGGGTAATGTGTAAGATCATGTAACCTCACATTTAAAAGGTGCTATCTGCTGCCAGGGTGTGTCAGTGATCTAGTGTGATTTTATAAAGGGCGACTAGTGCATTGAGGAGGGAAAGTTCTTCCTTGTAGCAGTGCTCCTGGGAAGTCTGTTGCCAGAATCTGCAAACTCAGGATTCAGTTTCTTCTCAAGCAGGCTTAAATAAGTCAATGATCTTTAATCCTTTTAGAATCTATTATAAGGAGAAAGTGTATGGAAACTATGAATTTGGGGAATTTTTGATCATCCTGGATTCCTAATAGGGTTAAAATGACTTAGCCCACTAGTCAGGCAATTGATCTTGTTAATGAGACTTTTGTGGAGCTTGGAGTCTCAACTGTGGACTCAGGGTATTTTGAGATCAGGCCCCCTCCTGTCACACAGGAGAGAGACTAGTGTTAGCTCAACCCCTGAGAACTCTCTGATAACCTGAACTTGGGCTGTGTCATATAGCTTTGCGGCATTGAAGAGTGTCACCATTGGAGGTTTTAGAGCCCATTACCTGGGTTCACACCCCATACTGACTTCCTCAATGAATGTAACTTTGGATGAGTAATTTAACTCTTCGGTGACCCAACTGCTATATATAAAAACTATACACAGACATATACAGTGCATAATACAAGATGCCTGGTCAACCCTAGCAGGCACTCAATAAACATGAAATTGTTACCACTCCTGTTATTATTTGATCATCGTTGCATCATGATTATATGGCTATGCTGGTCACTCTACATCATCTTAGCTGATACAGTTTTCAAGGGCCAATTGTTTAAAATAGGACCAATACAATTAGTATATGCAATATATTAGTGATATCATTCTTTATCTGAGGTGTTTCCATTAGGAACAAAGCAGGGAGGAAGATGTGAGCCTGCCTGGCATGTGTGTTCACTTAAGCTAAGTGCTAATGCACTGACATTGGCAGCAGGAGTGGTGGACCTGCCAACCTTGTGGGGTTTCTAAAAGGGAGAGTTGGCAAAAGGGGAATTCAGATAGAGACAGGGATGCCAATAACCTTACAGCAAGTATTGTGGCTACTCCTGGCACTTGGTTTATTTATAGTTCATAGCTGGCCTGAAAGGTACTCAGAAAATGGCTTAATGGCACCTCCTCAGTCTGAATCAGAACTTGCTTTTTCACCTGGAGAGAGCGCTGGACAAATTCCCAGTCAGTCTAATAGCCAAGCCATGTCAAGGGAGTGTTATGAGGGGTCATGTCCTCACCAGGAAGCTGTTGCCTCAAATGGCAGCCTGTGTGTCTTTGTTTGCTTTTTCCTGTTCTTTTCTCTCTCTCACTGAGATGTCAGGCTACCTGTAACCCTTGGGGGGAAGCCCTTGCTCTGTGAGGCATCGTATGGCTGAGCTATTTGGAGAGGGTCCAGGGAAACAGGAACTGCAGTGACTAAAGGGCTGGGCTAGGATCCATGAGGGAACACTGCAAAAGAGGGTTAATTAGGCAGTCAGGAAAAACTGAGTGTTGTTGAACAAAGGTCTTCGGGTACACCCTGTGGAATCACACAGAGACCATAAAGCAGTTATGTGCTATCTCTACAGAGAACAGAACAAGAGTGACTAAATTCCAAGCAAAGAAGCTCTAAGCCATCCCTTTAGGTTCATGGCCCCATTGAAATTTCTCCCTCCCAATACACTTGCTGCTGTGTTGTCTATTTTCACAGGAATGGAAAGGAGCAGTGAGGGCTCTCTCACTGTGCCTCTGTAAGCTGACAGTAGACGGGGTCCAATGAAGAGTTAGTCTAGCTATAGGCCCATGGCAACCTCCAAAGCTCTCTTCTTTCAGTCCTAAGAAGGATTCAATTTTTATCAACTTCACAGCAGCCTTTGCCACTATTACATCCAAAGTAGAAATCTGCAAGGATTAATTAAGCAATATAAAATAAGGTCAGATACTCATTAAGTAAAGGGACTAAGCTGCTTTATTGCCAACTTTGACCTGCAACTGGTTTACCAGTTTCAGTCTGCATTTGTGGAAGCCTGGCTTGTCCATGGCTAAAATGCAAGTCAACTTGTATAGTAACAGCTCTATATCCCAAGCTGACGCTAACAGCCTAGCTGGGAACATCATCTATAATAGAGTGAGTTTTTTTCTGATGGTAGCAAGGCTGGATTAGCTTGGGTCCTTAAAGCTACTGCAAATCTCAATCTACTCCTAAATTGTGGACAGAAAGAATGATGCCATCTACTACCACTATTATAACTCAACTAGGTTTTTCTTTTATTTATTAAATGTCGCATATATACATGAAAATAGTGAATCTGAATTCTTGTATGGCCCTACCGTGCAATTGTGGAGATGATGGAATTTATTTTATTCCTCATTCCAGGCATTAATCCTCTCCCTTCTTTGCCACCATTTCCCAGTCCTGCCCAGGTAAAGTGAATCAAATAATTGTAGGGAGTAAGGAGGTAGAATCTATAACAGAGACCATTCTACTGGACAATGCTTTAAAAAACTGAATGAATGGTATCAGAACTAAAATGTAATTTTCTAGTTTGGGATATTCATTCTCTGAACAATTATTGTGGTGTCTGCTATTCCCCAGGACATGGAGGAGGCATGGAATACAGAGATAAACAGAACAGCCCCCACCCATTTTTAAAGAAATTTATATCTGTTCATCTTTGTGAACAGGACAATATATAAATGACTACTAGGAATAAAACATAAATAGGACAAAAGTTGGCCTTACTCAAGCATATTGTACTGGCTCAAGTGTATGGTAGATGAGAATTAGATATTAAAGGGCATTATCACCCATGCCAGAAAGTTTTTACCTTTTGCTGCAGCCATTGAAGGGTGAGAGAGGGCCATGGGATTCTTCAACATGATCTTGATATGACTTGATATGGATCTTTGTTATTCCTGTTGATTTTTCATTTTCATTTTTTAGTTGGGTAATTTTATTTTGTTTTTGTTTGCATATGATGTGTTGAGAGAATGGGCTCAACTGGGGTATGTTTTACAGGTGGGAGATCAATTATCAGCTATAAAACATAAAGGAGGGAAATGGTAAACTAAGGCATTAAACAGAGAGGTGAGGAGAACACTTTGAAAGATATTTGAAAAGCAGAAGTGATATGACTTGTAATTCTTTAATATTTGTGCATTCAAGACAGAGTAGCTGAGTTCTCTACCTCATTATAAAAAAATGTTGAGTACAGAGTAGGCTCTCTGAAGGCCAGCAAGTACAAATGAGTTGCCAAATTTTAATAAAGAGAACCAAGAATTATCCTGGTGACTTCAAGTTCTGCATCTCACTTCAAAACCTGGAAAGATACTTGAAGAAATCATCCAAGTTTCAGCTTGCTATCTTCTGTAAGAAAACCAGATCCTGAGTTGCCACCACAATACTTTGGGAAGATCAGATTGTCCAGACCAGTGTCATTTCGTAGTGTGCTGGAGTGACAAGCCAAGGTGATAAGAAGTAAGCAGTAGTTGTAATCTACCTGGCTTCAGCTAGAGTTTTGATTCTGATTTCATTTTACATGACAGTCTTATTAACAAGTCAAGGCTGCTTCTGAGATTATATTCCAAAGAGGGTTATACAGGACAAACTGAAAGGAAAATAAACAAGGATTCTACTGTGGCTCATCTAGTTATTATCTTTCCTTGTAGCCACTGCTTCTTCATTTGAAAGAAGTTACTAATATAATTTCAGTGTAATGATAAGTAGAGGGAATGTTTTTCTTCTTAAACATATTTGAAATAGAAATGAACAGGGGCTACAATGTGGGGTAAAGAAACAGCCTGGGGAGAGTCAGATGAGGCCATGTGAGAGGTTATTCCTTACACAAGTGTGGAAGTAGGCTGGATTCTCACAGTAGAATCATAAACCTGTCCTCCCAACATTTTCATCAGGCTCCATATTAAAGTTTCAAATAGGTTTAAAATACCTGAGATAACTCGATTTGAGTAGTTTGATAGTACTTGAAAATGAGAAAAATTAGGAAAGCTTTGGGGGAATGGATGAGATTCGTGGGAGGAGAGAAAGTGTGGGAGTAATGGTCCTAATATTCATTTAGATTCTAGTTACTATCTCCAAAAACCAGGTTGGCTCTCCTAGATGTATGATTATGACAGTTCAGGGAAGAATACTTTTCCCACTCTAAGTAATTTTATGTGAAGGACCTTTATGTAGGATGGGGTTTTCAAAGTGGGGTTTCTGGACCAGCAGCGTCCCGACCATCTGGGACTTAGAAGTTCAAGTGTTTGGATTCCAACCCAGATTAACTTATAGAGAAACTGTTTTAACAAACACAAAAATGTGTGTTTTGATAAGCCCGCCAGGTAATTCTGACACACACTCAAGTTTGAGAACCATTGATCTCAAGGGATTTTTTAAGTGTCCTTAACTGGGTGTTCATGAACTTGGACAGGGGAAAAAAAAAATCACTTTTATTTTTACTAACCACTAATCAAATTTAGCATTTCACACCATTGTAAAGGTAAGCAACAAACCAGAGTGGGACTTAGTAGTACACATTACTGATAAGAATCAGAGATATTTTCACATCACATTCCCATGGTTGCAGATATCTCAAAATATCATTAATACTCTCTGCTACTTTGAAATTATGGTAATTATTAGACCTGCTGCTAGATCTTATGATTAGTGTGTTTCATAAAAGGAACACACATATTACTGTATTTCAAGTTTTTAAAAATATTTTGATAACTATATTTTACTATAATTAATTGGTTTTGCAAGTCTATGGATCTTATTTTATGAATGTAAACACTAATCCTGAAAAGAGGACTAGCAGCTTCTCTGGTCCACTGAAGAGGAGCAAGCCATAAAAAATGTTAACCCCTAGCCTAGGGGTACACTTGTATCTCCTCCTCCAGCCCTCAGACTGTACTCCCAACAGGAAGAGGGGTGCTGATCTGAATGGTGAGTGATGGAGCTACAGGGAAAGCCTCACTCCATTCTATCCCCTTCCCTCTCACTAAATCTGCCTGTGTGCAAATCTTACATGCCCAGCTGCCTTCTGCCAAGTAGTCAGAGCTGACGGGGGTCCAGCTCTGCCCCTGGCTGGTTAGTATGTTTGTCTCATTCAGAGCTAAAGTAGCAGAAAGCCCACTGATCTAATGCCACATGCTCCAGCCCAGCTTTTACCACTTGTGCAGCTAATATTTTCATCTCCAGCAGTCTGTCTCATATCTGTCTCTTAATTGGTTCCAAATTCAGGCATGGAAGAAAAGCATCGTTTATTGGCCTTCTAAACCATCCCCAGCCTTTCTATCGATCTCTTTCTCCTATTTTTCTTGTGAGAATATACAAAAATAAAGAAGACATTGCAGGAAAGCAGGCAGCCTCATCTCCACCCAGGAGGCTTTTTAATTGTTCTTTAAGTAGCACTGGTACCAGATGCCAGACAGAAGCTACAGTGATGTACTTCCTTCTCAGTTGTCCTAGAATCAGGGCTATAAATTAGTTGGGTCATTGCCCTTTAAAAGAGGAGGAAAATATGAGGTAATAATAGTCAAGGTCATCGTTGTGCATCCAATGAATTCTGTAAACCAGCTGTAAAGACTCTTCCTTAGCTAATGGCATGGAGCCTAATACAACTCTGCAGACAGACACTGGCCAACTTTCTAGGTCATCATGTCAGAGTTCTTTTCTAAGTTATTCTTTCATCTTTGCCTTACTAATTTGTTATGCAAAATAGAGTTCATCTTATTATGATCTAAAGAGGGCAATTGTGATTACAATATTTAGCTATGCAATATGCAAAGACTTAAAACCACCAAAATGTTGATTCCAGAATTTGAAGGAAGCTCTCCTTACCAGTCTAGTTCCATATGAACATCTACTACCTGTGGAAACATTTACTGTGAATCAGGTGCCATGGATATGATGTTCCCTGTTTAGTTCACAGTGACTATTTGCAGTGGAAATACCTTTCATCCAGATGAAGGTACTGAATTTTAAAGAATTTAAGGTAACTTTGCCAAAGTCAGTGAAATTGGTGGGACCAGGCTTGAACTCAGAAAACCCAGTTCTTAATTACTATCAGAGGTATTTGTCTCTTCCGTTTTCAACTTTATTTCACCATTCTTCTCCCAATGGTCTCATTATCTTGTGTTCAGAATCCATGAGGACTTAGGGTGCCTGACTGTTTTCACAGCATATCTAATTTAAACCTCATAACAACCATGATATATGAGTCATCACCTCAGTTACATATAGGTACACAAACTAAGACTTACAATGCAATTTACTTGGGATCAAACCATACAGCTAACAAAGGAACAGAACTGTCATGCAAACCACACTTTTAACTTAAATAGAAATTTTACAAGTTCTGGTAATAAGCTCTGGTGGCAAGGATTCTTCATCCACAGCATTTCAGCCTAACAAATCCAGCAGGAAGTAGTTGGCAGGCACACAGAGGATACAGCCTCAGGCAATTTCAATACATTGGTGCACCAATGCTTTTTGTACTTCCAACCTATCTGCATTTCCAGTAGGAATATTCATTTGTTTCCCCCAAATCCTAGCAAATTCTTCTAATTCTAGTTCAGACAGATACATTTTGTATCACATTGAAAGCATTTCTGTATGTGGCATATCATTCTTTTTGGAATTTTGAATGGAAAGACTGATATAATTGTCAAATCTCCCCATTCTGATGAAAAGTAAAGGCAGGCTGGGAGGACAGACTCTGAAGAATGCTGCTTCAGAGTAACCTTTGTCAGCTCGTTAGCAGGAATCTTCAAGACACATCTCAAAGCATGATGGTCAACCATACTCAGCTTTTAACACAAAGTGACTGGTCTTCAGGCATCAAAGAAAATGCATTCCCCCATTAAAAATAATTGCATAAAGATATTGGGACATAAAACCAAAATTGGGCTTAGCAGGCATAAAATGCATCATTCCTACTTTGGTTACTTAAAGGGTAAAACTGCTTTTTTTGAGCAACAGTTGCTTTTGGCCATCTTTTGCGTGGAGGTATTCAACATAATTGTGCTAAGTAGTGTGAAAAGGGAACCTACTTCAAGGCTAACATGATAATGAGTATTATCTGAGAGACTAGAGGAAAAGCGGTTAATAATATAATTTTTCATGCTTTTTGTTGTTGTTCAGCTAAGAATAAAAGTCTCATTAAAGAGAGTTTAAATGAGTTATATTTTTCCTTTCCTCTCACAATTAATTTTTGTGCAGTCCAATTGAAATTTGCATTTCTGATGCTGTTATGTTGATCAGGGCAGTGTGAATTGCTTGGGAACCGGCAGAGGGCAGTGCTGAGCTGAAGGTGGCACTGGAACCTTGCTTCTGGCAGTAAAATTGTGCTTGTTATTAAATGAAATCTTAAGGCTAACTTAGCCACAGAGGAAATTAAACTGCTAATTATGTGTGTGTAAACCACTAAAATGGGTCCAGTTGTTGCTCAAGATTTCAGAAACACCCACCTCTTCTCCTTGGTTTTAAAATATGTAATTATGCCTGGAAATAGTACCTATTAAAGATTTCATACAATTTTTTTAAAAAAATCTTTCGGAGTTATCTGTTTGCATAGCCCATTCCTTTCTATGCAAATAAACAAAAGATGGGTAGTTTCAAATCATTTTTTCTTCAATTCATTTATGTCAATATCTTTATAAAATCTGAGTCATTGAGACATGATGACCGCATTATTTTCCTAGCACTTTCTTGTTCAGATTTCCATAGAGAATATCTAAAAGATTTGGAGAGAAGCTATTCTGATTTGGGAGGGAAGGGAATGGTGACTGCTTAAATATGTGTATGCATTTAGAATTAGGGATGGTTTTACGCATTTATTCTCATGACAGGGAAATAAAAATAGATATTGAGGAATCAATGGCTAGGATATTTCTGTGCTCTGCACAGCCTAGTAGCTGTCTATATAAGATCAGATAAACAAAAGTAAAAGAAATTCAGTGTTGGGTTTTAACAAAAATATGAATAAACACTGACAGTAATGTTCATGTTACAACAAATAATTTGAATAATTTGAATGGATAATACCATTCACTTTGCAAAGTTTTTCATATGGATCTCTCTTAAGTCTTTTACTACTCAGTGTGTTTCCTAGACCGGTAGCATTGCCAGGGAGCTTGTTAGAAATACAGAATCTCTCTCTACTAAGTCAGAATCTGCATTTTAACCAGTCTGCAGAGGATTTGATTGCAGGCTCAAGTTCGAGAAGCACCACTTAAGGCCTTATCTCCAGTCATTTGCTTTCTCTGAAAAGGGCATCTCTCCTGCTTTTCTGTGGAGACAGTTCATAAAGCTTACAACAGCACACAATGATTTAGAATCAATTAAAGGAAGTTTTTGTGGTTGCAGTTGTTTTCTCCTTTGCAACAAATAAAGCCTTCCTGAAATCTTTAATGGATGCTTTTTTCCCAGCTGGTTTTAACTGGGCCTA